GGCTCTCAGAGCCCCACAGCACACATCCACTTTACTCACAGTTCAGTAGCGAGAACACTTTCGAAACCCTTCACCCTCCATCGTGACTCTGCCTCAGCTGCCAGATAAACACCCAGAGGAGACTGTCTGATACCATAAACACCACCAAAGAGTTTAACCATGATGGATGCAGTTGGAGAGTGCCTCCACTTTGCTCAGGAGCTCTGTCCCACAATCCCCCAACTATAATTTTGAGGCATTTTCAAATTGGCAACTCATGTTCCTGACTCTGTGTAAATATTGTGCTGAATATACCTCTTGAGTTATTTAGTACAAACTGCCTGCGCCCCCAAAAGAATCAAGTCTGTCAAAAAAAAGATAGTTTAGGGGATTAGATGTTCTTTGTAAAAAGGAAAATACAGCAACTAATGGGTGTGTGTATATGTGTGTGTGTGTCTCCGTACTACTTAATGTGCGTGTTTAGAGACAGCCTTGGGTCTTTGGGATGGCACTGTTCTGCTGCTCCCACTTTAATTGGCTGCTGGCCCCCTCAGCCTCGCCTGAATGGAGAGTCATTTAGGGACCTTTCACTCTCATAGAGGATTGTCGGTTGCCGCTGCAGGAGAAATTGCATTCCTGTTTCCATACAATGGCTGGTCTGAGTTGGACGGGGCAAGAGTATCACTGTCATTATCATGACAATGGAAGCTAATTCCACTGCCACTAGTGCCATTCTGAAACCCTCTGCAGCACCAGCTTATCAGGGGGCACCATGAGACCAGCAGGAAGCTACGTGAGAACCACGTCTGTGGTGAAGATTCACACATACAGTACACACTCTCTGACAGACATACACAAACACATTCAGGGCTGATACTCTGTTTAGGGATGCTGTCATAGGCATGAACCAACACATAAGCAAACTAAAATGGCACTCAGTAGACCGCATAACTCTGCTAAGGCCAAACAATCCTACACATCTGTCTAGCTCTTATAATAGAAAAATAAAAGGAAAAAGGAAGTAGTCTGATAATCTGCACCAAATTGTAAAAATTCATAGATCTCAAAACCATAAATGTTTTGCATTGATATCCAAACATTACAGCCTGAGAAATGGACATTGAAAATGTTGAAAAATGAGTTGCAATGTTACGGAAAGTAATAAAAAAACAAAATCCTGGATCCGCACTTTTAGCTGGATCTACAGCAGAATTTAATGGGTTCCTCTCTAGCCCACGCCCATCCCACTACCAAGTTAGGCGCAAATCAATTCAGTACTGTTTGTGTATTCCTGACGTAAAAGCACATCTCACTTAGTGACACGTGTTATACATGTCTATACTGAACCGGTGGCCCCATGAATGTATTTTACTATTCCAGCAGAGCAGATTAACAATCATCATTCATAAACAAAATAAAATAGATTTAACCTCTTCAACCTCATTAAGCTACCAGAGTTCAGTCTTAACAAACTCATGTTGTTTGATGGGTTTTTGGGGAAATGTGTCTAAAATGATGCATAAAACATCAAGGATCTTTACATTTGTTGGAATAGTAAAGCCATAGAAAACATGGACTCATGTCAGAGTAGTAAGAGTATAGAAACATTTGCTTACTTCCAGTTAGATAATAAGATTGATACCACTGTCATGTGCAGCTTGACCCAATAAGAAACGTAGCTTAGTTTAGCATAGAGACTGGACACAGGATGAAACAGGAAACCTGGTTCTGAAGTTACAGATTAAACAAACATGACATAACATGTTAATCAGTGAGCGTTAGAAGTGCCCGCAGCTGGATTTTGTTCCTCTGGACTGAGTGAGGCTACCCATTTCCCCAATCTACCAGCAAGATAGTTTTTTTTCCCAAAATGTTGAACTATTCCTTGAAACTAACAGTCGTGCCCACGAGAGTCTGTTAACAAGAGAACAAACCTGATCAGCATTTGTTTTGTCCACTCACAGTCCCCGGTGAAAATCAGGCTGTGACTGCAGCGTGAGCCAGGTCCGACAGCTGTTTTTTTCTCGAAGAGATGCTTGAGGAAGGTTTCACTTTTTGCACTATATAGAGGTACTGTATGCTGAGGTTGCAGAGGGAAAATATAAAATGTGTTGAGTAAAGTGGAAACTCAGTAAAGCAGAAAGACAATTAGGATGTTGGTTTGCTCCTCTTACTCCCAGTTGTTTAACCCAATGTCCTCATCCCTGTTTCGTTCATTTGTACCATTTCACTGCAGCTCTGCATGTTGGTCTGACCCCATTATCTGCAGCCTTTATCCCTCTCTTTCCTCTCAGTGCCTCATCATCTACCACCCAGCAGGACCTTTCTCTGTTCACTGAGAGGGCAGCATGATGTTGGACCTTGGAGCCACTATTAAACACTGGCTGACCTGATCCTCAGTTAAGAAACACACACAGATGCACATACATACACACTCACAACTACACTAACTCCTCTGGTGTTTAAGGGTAACACATCTCTGTTAGGGGGATGCATCAGGTTTGAATCCTGTCAAGAGATTCCTCCAGATTTACAACTCTGTTGAACAAGTAGAGACATCTCATTAGACAAAACAATAGGAAAGGCAAACAAAACACAATGTAACCAATTTGTAATTATTCTCTAGGAGTCATTTTCCTTTTTTTATTTTATGAATTTACATTCCTCTAACCTCCTCCTCTGTGCTCTGAGGTCAGTGACTTGTGGCATCCACATGCAGACAGATGCAGCTGCTGAGTCATTGTGTTATGAGCACTGTGGGCAAATCAGCAACAGAAATACATTAGGCACCTTAAGGAATCTGTTTGTTGATTTGATTTGTGTTATTCTGGCAAAGGTCAGGTGAATCTGCTGCCTCCCTTCAGGTTCAGATTCACACTTAGACTGTATGCATCCTGATACATCCCAGTAATGTAATTGGTAAGGGTGTGTTTGTGAAAAACTAACTGGCATGAGTGATTTCCACTGCAGTTCTTTCATGATATATTGTTATCTTGATAGAGGCATTACTGCAACAGAAACATTCACTGTCCAAGGTGCTGAATCAATCTTTCAGCAGACTGAATTTTCCTCCTAAAGTGTAATTATCTGGTCAAGGATTTTAATCCCATTAGGCCAAAGACAGACACATTTAAAAGAACCTACAATTCTATCTATTTTTGTAAGCTCAGTCACAGTTTGCTTTTCCTTTCTATGATCATTTTGCTAGTGAATACAAGATTCACTGCCTCACATGATCTGTAATTGTTTTCAGGGCTACAGTCAGGAAATTATCCTAAATGGCTTATGTGCTGTTTTGTGGGGGGTCAGAGAGAGAATCAGGCCACATTAAAAATAAAGAACTGTGTACTGTATATTGGCATTTTTTTGAATGTTTTATGCCATCCATACAAGTATGACAGGTGGAACAGGTGATATAACACTTCCTGTCTTCAAGAAATAATTCACATGCTCCCTCAGATAAATCCCATCTACCGTGATAACTGCGCTTATCAATTATTTAGTCTTTAAGAATATATTCCCTTCCCTCTTTTTTTTCTTTCACAGGATTAATTCAGGGTCAAAGGAATATTATCAGTGGGTCTGACCATTATTAGAGGGATCGAAACTCATTCTACTTTTGTAGTTTCTGAAAGTTACTCAGGTTAAATGTGTCAAATAACGAGACTAAGAGACTATACAGCAGTGATAATGGCTCTGTGAAGCTGTACTGTGCGGCAGTGCTTTGAACTACACGCCAACATCAGCATGTAAACACAGTAACATACTGATGTGAAGCAAGTAGCCTAATATTTGCATTGTGAGGCTGTGCCTCTCCTATTCCATCCATTCATAATAAACCAGCTTTTGAGCTTTAAAACCACATCTCAGAGTTCTGTTTTTGAGTCTAGATTCTGAAGTTTTTGCCATCATAGTTAAGTCTGTTAGCATGCTAACATTTACTAATTATTGCTAAACACGATGTACAGCTGCGGCTGATGGGAATGTCATTAGTTTTGTGGGTATTTGGTTAATACACCAAAGTATTAGGCAAATTAAAATTATAACCCGATCATGGTAATGGTAATGATGGCAATCCATCTAATAGAAGATGTTTTACTCTGGACCAAAGTGGTCGTCTCACCGACAGACCTATTACCAGCTTTGCAAGTGTTTTTGCAGAACACTATGCTGTCACAGCGAAGTTGACCTTTGACCGCCAAAATACATTCAGTTCATCCTTAAATCGAAGTGAATTTTTGTGCCAAATCTGAAGAAATTCCCTCAAGGTGGTCTTAAGATATCACATACAAGAGGCCAAAAAGCCTCCAGCCCTGGCTGTTGCTGGCAGAGAGGTTTAAAAACATAAATGATACATATTGCTTTCATGATGCATCCTTTGTGTGAATTTATCTGTGCATAAGATCTGGATCTGCCTGCTCTGAAAAAAGTCTGATAAACTGAAAATGGTTTAGAGAATTCTATAACCCCATTCATCAAAGTGAGTACTAATAATAATAATGCATACATGTTTGCACATTTGTGTGCATCATGGGGCACTGCTGCTTTTACTGATCCTTAATGATAATGAGATCTGAGCATTAATTATCAAGTTCTTTGCTTTCATGTTGTTTTAGTGCTGCCATCTGTCCTGTCCCCACTGTTCAGTGATAAATGATGTGCTTTTACCATCATAACTGTATGCCTCTTTCTCCACATTCCTCGAAACAGCATTACAGTAAGAGAACTGAAACATCATTTAATGACAGCAGATCAAATCACTTTCTAGGCCAAATGAAGGTGGAGGTTGGAAGAGACAAGGAGAGAAGAGCATGGATGTATGGCAGTGAATGGCAGCTTTTTCATTTGAACTGAAGCTGCTCACTCAGAAGATATACAGTATGCAAAGAATAAACAACAAACACATTTTCCAAGTAACATACACAAATTTAATGATAAATGATTTGAATTAAAACATTCAAACAGGTACAGTATATACAGTACATTTAAACTACACCATGTACAATGATTGACTAAAGACACCAACAACGGAGAGGTCCATCACCCTCCATCCTACCACCGGGCAATGTGCTCTGCAGCTGTGAAACACACACACACACACACACACACACACACAAACACAAATTACAGAAACAATACAAAAGTGTTCCATGTTGAGTACAAAAACACTGCAAAAAAAGGAAAAACGGTGAAGCATCTGAAAAAAAGTTTGGTTTGTGTCATAAATCCCCAGTAATCCGTCAGTTCTACTGCAGACTCCTTTTGATGCATATGCACGCACACACACACACACACACACACACACACACACACACACACACACACTCTCTCTCTCTCTCAGACAGTACTCTGGAGCATAGTAAACATAGTGTAGTGTCTCCCTCGGGCTGTGTCACATCCACTTATCATTTTATTACTAATTAACACAACACAGTAATGAAGGTTGGAAATTACTCTGATGGGTGGAGGGCTCTGTGTGCTTATAATCAGCTGAATTTATGCATTCCACTCTTTGTAGCGCTTCAGTGAAATGTAGCTTTTGTTTTGAGAAGAAGGGCGAGATGATGATTGATTGAAGAATATTTTCATAAGATGAGCTTTAATGACCTCTATATCAATGTGGCTAAACTACCACTGATATCATCTGACCCTCAAGCCCTCTCTCGTTTTACACAAACACAAACTACAAGGAAGGGGACATCAAGAGGTCTTCAAAAAGCAGGTTGTAAAACTGTTGTCTTAGCAACACTGACCACATTCAAAGCAGATCGCTCCTTCACCGATGATCAATACCAGATTACACACCAACCACTTGCAAAGACACACTCAAGTGGGCAAAACTAAACATCTGCCACCATCTCATTCTTCACAATCAATATAAGTGGTATGTGTGCTTCTAAACACTGTGGGTCTTTGTGGAGGTGACGTATATTGATTGCTCAAAGGCCCTTGATGGCGGGCACTGAGTGCCATTGATTTAGACTGAGTGCCATGTTTAAATGTGTGGGCAGGATCACACAGAGATTTCAGTGTTGTGTTCAAATCATTAATGAACACACTGGATTAACATTTTACACTTCACCCTGCAGTGAAATAGATAATACTATTTGTCAGGACACAGTAAGGCACAGCAGGTGTGGATTTGAATACAAGAGCAAACAGTCATTCAACTACCCAAACAAAAACAAACTGTTGTAAATCTCTATTAAGTGATATTTTTTTTATATTAAATGCCAAATCAAATCTCTCAGTATAATGTGAAGGGATCGCTTGTAGTACTGAACTGACCGCCCAAGTCTTACAGATTTTAGCCACTTTTAGTTCAGTTTTAGTTTTCTGACCTTCACATGTACTTTATGGCTGACACCCATTGCTCTAAATGGATAAATAAATAAAAGAGTAGGTAGACGAGGCTGCCCCCCATGGCTTAGGGATAAGACACTGACAGTGAACCGCAAAGTCAGCAGTAATCTCTTTACTGTCTCCAAATGGTATAAAAATGTCAAAAAAAAAATTTACTTAGAAAAAAGAGAAAAGAAAAAAGAAGATTCTGAGAAAGACACTTTATCAGAATAAGTCTCATCACAAATCTATGATAAGAAAATGGAAGTCAGCTTTTTTGTCCAAAGACAGGGTACCCATATTCCCTGCATTGGATTCTGTTTTAACGGATGGGTGGAAGGCCATGGGTCTTTGAGAGGGACAGATCTGTTTCACCATGAAGCCCAGAGCCTGGTGGCTTTCTGCATGAAAGCAGTTGGTGCTGGACAGATGGTAGGATGCCAGCCTCTGGGGGGAAATACAAGGGGACAAGCCAGTCTCCCTTGCAAGTCGACTGTGGACATGCTGCTGCGGGTTGAAGAAATGCCGCCAACGCCACAGCCAAATGTGTATCGTCTGTTTGGTTTTGTAGCGAAATGGCAAGTTGTAACTGTTCAACTTGCTTATATCGAATGTTCCTCACACGACACAGCAACTCAGTGGTTAGCATTACCAACTCTTAGCAGGAACGTCACCCGGATCACACTGGGTGGTAAAGTTGTACAAAAGAGAAATCTCCTTTTCGCCTTAGCCACATTTTCATCCACCCTCTCCCAGAAGGAGCCTTACCATGCTGGCAAACATATCTGTTCCGTGTCTTACAGCGCTGGTCGTTCCAGTTGAAAGCACTTGATGCCTGCAGCTCTACACAGTTTCCAAAACTGGACAGAGAGAGAGATGGAATAAATAACTGTGCATAGATAGATAGATAGAGAGACATCTAGTGGTTAGGGTTAAGGTTGCGGGTCAGCCAACATTTCTTTGAAACAACCTTAGTGGATAATCTCAGCTATACTATTTAAGAGCTGGATTTTAGGGATGGAAACAAATAAAAGACCAGACTTTCTTTATTATTTACTACAGTAATCTGTAACTCACACATATTGCAGATATAAAACCAGTTAAAAATAAAAACCCTTGAAGTTCCCACAGAGAACACGTCTTTGTTTATGATGTACACTGCAGTAGCTAATGTGTGTTAGTAAATGTGTCACCTACCCTTGGTTGTCTGGTTGCCCAAAGGCAAAGCTGCTGAATGTAGGGATCTCTCCGGTGTCCCAGCGAAATGAGTCTTTCAGAGGCTTGTATGTCAGACCTGTGGAGCAAAAACATTGCTGTTGTATCCGTGTAGCATCGGCCATCTGGTAGTAAATCTGGCTAAAATGACAGCAGAGTCCGCAAACTAGTTTGGTAGTGCTGTCTCATGTTCGAGAGCATTATGTTATTAAATTTTAGTAAGCTGAAAGATTGTTACCAATCCAGAAGTTTCTTGTTTCAAAGTCAATGCTGGTGACCTCGTTGCTTGTCTCTAGCTGACCGAGATAAAACGCCAGGATGTCCTGAACCTTCTGATTGTGGATCTGAACTAGAATACCTCCTCGTTCCTGACGGTTTAAACAAAGAAAAGGCCACACTGAGAGCACAAAGGAAAGCTTTGATAGAATGATTTACATTATGCACTTGTCTCACTCTCTCAGTGGGTAACACACACCTGTCTCTCACCTGACAGTGACTTTTGGCTCCGTAGTAGGTGTCAGCTTCTGAAGACACCATGAAACAATCTCCATCTATCATCACATCACAGCTGTGGAAGGGAAACGGCACTTTCTCTGTAGGGACACAAACAGCACAAAATATCCATTATGGAAATGGTGTTATTACATTCACATATTCAGAGGCTGAAGATATGTATGTAACTGCACTGCTTGAGATATACCGTAAATGTCATAACCCACTGATGATAAAATGTCTTTTGTGCAACCTTCAACCAGTCAGTACACTGCGTCGTTTTCATCATGTTCTCAACATGTTCTCAACATGTTTTCAACACGTCACTGGATCCATTAAGATAAACAGAGAATGTAGCAGCAACCAGATTCATGTCCTCAGTATGCGTGTTTGTGCGCACTTTTGAATTTTGAAGCCACTCTGTTTCTCAGAGGACAAACTGCTGAGCTATATGAAGCACGTACTGTACTAAAGCACACTGCACTTACCTGCACACTCAGCACCGCCATAGCCGACATCACACAGGCAGGAACATTCTTCTTCTTTGAAACGACCGTGTACACACTGCACACTGCACCGTACTGAAAAACAGACAGCGGTACTGCAAATTCTGTCTTTCTACGTTGAATATTAAAATACTTAAATATAGAAAAGAAATCCATTTAACTAAGTTTAATACCAATATGTCTACTATCTTGTTACAACTACTCATGATGTTGATGTCTGGTACCCTGGCAGAAGCGTCCCGTGAATCCCGCGTCACACATGCACTTGCAGGATGAGATGTTAAGACGGCCGTGCTGACCACAGCTCATACGGCATGGATTCCTTGGAATCTCTGATTTAAAAAAATGTGCATGCACAACCAGCAAACACACACACACACACACACACACACACACACACACACACACAAACATGTATGTTTCAAAATGAACATCTGGAATCACAAATGTCTGATCATTTTACCCAAATCAGCTTTACAACGTCACTGCAGTAGCAACTGTTACTCAAGCTGAATGACATATGCAGGAAACTGTCGAACACTCAAAATACTTTATTGCAACTGACTGGAAAAACAGGCATAGAAAAGAATGTGTGGGAACAATAAAAAATAGTTCACAACCAGAAATGTTTCATGTGCACATCTTCAATCTTTGTGAAAGTGGACTTAATTTGCATTGCTGACAATAATGTCAATGAAATTGAGGGCAGATAGACAAAAATGACCTTGAAGAACACATTGGACAGCTCTACCGTAGTAGTCGTAGCAGAAGAAAGTTGAAATTTCCAATTATGTCCTTCAAAAACAGCATGGCAATGACCTGCATTTATGTTTTAAGGTTTTATGTTTAATCCTTGTGGAATTCATTTGGTATCAAAAACCTCACTGTGGTATTCATTGGATATTGTGAATGTCCAATGACAGCAAAATTAGCTTCTGCAGCAACCTACACACACACACATACATGTATATATATATATATATATATATTTATAAAAATACATACATATATGTTGTCTTACCACACAATCCACCTACATGATCCCACAGTCTAAAGCAGCCAGACATGGAAGAGGTACAGAGAGAGCAGCACAGCCCCGACTTGTAGGGAATCACCAGTCGACCATTCACCTCCCAGTTACCTCTGCAGCGACACAGATGTATACTGCAAACACTACATACTACACACATACTAAGAGACACACAATCTGCTCTGGAGTACATCCAATCTTAATGTTGAAAGTAACAAATGAAATCTCCATACAGGACAGGACATAATAATTGTGAGCTCTTTGTATTTTGTTTAAAACTGAGATTTGCTCAAACTATGCTGTTCTCAGATGGATTTAATGTTTTCATTTTTATGGAAAAGGTGTGTAATTGTTACCCTGGGTAATATGCACAGACAAAAATCTCCCGGAGGTCTCCTTCTCTCAGACACAGCTGGCTGGCACAGCCCACATGACTCGAAGTGGCCCACACAAGCTACACAACAACAGAGGGATTAGACACACTACATCAGCACTTTTAAAGGAAAAAAAACATGCATCTGAATGTCTGTGAAGTGAGGTGTGTGGTAAATGCAAGACTCCGCATAAACATGCTGTACGTACAGTTGGTATCTGCTTGTGAATACCTGTGTGTAGTGTTGGCAGCTGGCGTTCTCTCTACATTGCCCACTTAAGTAGAGAAAATCCTTTCCCTCCTCAAACCAGGAGTCGATGATGTCAGAAAATGAAGCGACACCATGAACAGAAAGATGTGTGTTCCAGCCAATGTGACTGGAGGTTGAGGAGTGCTGAGGGGAGGGGTCTGTGTGACAGGATTCTGCCCTCTCCTTTGCAAGTAAGGCCAACTTCTCATCCCACTCCTAGGGATAAAGACAAAAGTAGGATTTAGTATTATTGCTACATATCTTTCCATTTTGTTCTGCATGGTTAAGCCTTTTTTTTTTTAGCAGTATCTTACATGCACACAGGAGAAGACTATCCCTAACCAGCGCACCTATCAGCAGAAGCTAATACAAGAATTATTGCATTGCATTTGTGTTTTTCAGCAGATGTTTAAGGTTTTTCTTCTTATCTGTGTTTTGGGTAAACCGTGTAACAGCAGATCTGTTCGAGGAAATCAATGGATTTTAGCTCTTCTCCTGTAGTTTCCAATGCGCAGGTCCCACAAACCCCCATCTGTTTATCTCAGATTATCTAACATGCAGTTTTCTTTATTTTGCAAACTGATAAATATGAAGGAAGTAATTATATCAATAATTAGCAACGGGAAATTTTCATCCTTTGTAATATCTCTAATAAAGGTCATATTGTAGTTTGCAGACAGTGATTAAGGCTGGATGAAAGAAACTCTTTAGCTTGAAGGTCATTCCTAATAGTGCATGAGTGATTTTCTTTACCCCTTTAATCCTTTTCAGGGGTTGGAGCCAGCCGTAGCCTACAGTGGGCAACAGGCAGAGAGACATCTTGGGCAAACTGCCAGTCCGCGACAGTGCCAACAAACACAGACTGACACTCACTGCATGCTGCACTGGTATAAACACTTTACTAAGTGACACATTTTCCAACAGCCAACTGGTTTCCACACAAACTTTCCACTACCACTCTGCCATATTTGCTGTCATACGGACATCATCGCAGTTACTTCTTTTACTATTGAGAAGGACAACAACACAACGTGCACAAAGTTAAGCTTTAAATCATTAAAATTAACTGTTGGAGGAATGATGGATTATTGTCTTTGCATTTGTATTAGTATTAGTATTAGTGAAAGGGCAGTCCACCAATTTGACACCTGAAGGTCAGTTTACCTGTCATCAGAGTGGTAATGTTGTCTGTGGCTGTGGAGGGACGTTTCTAAAGTTTGAGAAAATAACCCCGGTGATGTCATCAGGGTTATCTGTCTGGTTTAGACACCAACATTAGACATTTACCAGTCAGGGAGGAGCAAATGAAATGTTATTTCCCATAATACTACTTTACCTTCATTCATGGCTCCATCCACAACTGCTATATTGTTGTACTGTTTATTAGCTGAATTAGCTGAATTAATGAAGCTCCATATTTTGCTGTGAAACTGCAGATCTACTTTTTTTCTCAGTGCTGGGAGCTTGGGGAAATTCTGAGAGAGATTAATAATACGATAAAATCTCCCAATCAGAGGTCGTGATTTACATATCAAAGTAAACACTCTTTTAATTTCTGCCTGTGAAAGTGATGGTGTGACCTCATAATACTTCTTAGCCTCAAGAGCTCAACGATAACCTGCAGACAGGGCATTTGGGTGAGAAAAGGAGGAGCATCATTTATTCCTAAAATATTGCTATCTTATCTCACCCTTAAAGCAAAGCCTAAAGCACTATATTATAATCACTTCAACACAATCTCACCACAATGCTTACTGGTTCGTTTCTGCATGAAGAAAAAAAATAAAAACCTTATTCTGATACACACAAACACAGCCGAAGCCTTGAGCCTTTTAACTTTTATCAGCAAAGCTCTTTAATATGCCTCTTCAGCTCGGCAAAGCCTCCTCTGAGGGTTTTCACAGGGAAATTACCTGTAATACCACAGCTGTGAATGCAGAATGATTATCCACATCCCCTTTTTCTCATTACTGCCTTATCAGTTGAGAACAGTTCTCTGAGGCTGAAGAGCAGTCGAAGAAAGGGGCTCGGTCTGTGCAGGTGGCTTTGAGGATGTAATCTATGACAAAGTGACAGTTTTCCCTGGTAAAAATCTCATATTAGGCCCTGAGGATATCTAGTGCATTGTGAGTTTCATAATCCATCATTACGTCTTGGTCATAATCACACGGAGACAGGACAGTTGTGCAGATAAGTAGTACTGTATGGAGAAGCAATAGATGGAATAAGATACTGAGAGGATTTAGCTGGGCTGTTTTGCAGAAAATGGGATTAGAAAAACCTGAGACACAAATTAATATTGAGAATTTCTGCACATTCAGCAATACCTCACCATGACCCTCCGACCTGTTACGTCACACTGTCAAATTCTATGACTGGCCTTTTTTATGTACAGTATTTTAACTATGTATGTTGATCATCAGTATTAACAGACTAACAAGGGAAAAATTCTGCTTATTTTTATCCTTATTCAACCCTCACAAGACTCTATGCACGGCTAATTGATTTTGGCTCAATTCTAACTGTCCACACTATCACTCCGCCTGCAGCAGAGCAGAACAAATGGTGCACTAACACTACTATCAGGCTGTTGAGACAATCAGCACCACTGAGCAAGACAGCTCGGCTAAAAGCTTTTGTTGTCCACCCCTCTTTTTAGTTATTTCACTTTTGAAAAAGGAATAATTTTTGGTTAAATAACTATGGCGGTTTGATAGATTTGTCCACAGCTGCATTTGCCTGTGACTGAGCTGCTGTAGTAGCTACCTGTTGTTGTTAGTTTGTGAGAAAGTAAAAATAGAGCTCTGAACCAACTGTTGTTCTCTAAGAACTGTTGACTGCTTCAACAGGGTTTTACATCTTTACACAACACACCTCTGAGCGTTACTGACAGCATCATTTTCATTACTGTTTTTCTCTGGGTTTCTGTACTGGCAAGGCTTGCAACTTCAAGCTTGTTTAAATGCACGGGCATATTTTTTAAGTTTGCAACATGTGGATGACTATCTTCCTCTACTGGAGGGAGAGAACGTCTGTAGTAGAGAGCCAGTAATTCTTACAAAGAGGCAAATGTGAGCTGCATTGTGAGTATCAGCTGTGTGGACAGTGCACCACCTCCAGTTTTTAACAAGAGCACAGACTACTGTCAACAAATGGACCATGTTAAACTTAAACTCACATTTAGGCGACAGCATTCACACCATTCAAACGCACACACACAGAAGAAACAGACAATAGGTGCCACAAACCATTTTTTGCATGTTAGCTGCCATGGGTTTGACCCGGCTGCGCAATCTATTGTGCTGGGCAACAATCTGTGAGTGCTCCTTCACCCCGAGTCCTGGAAGAAAACAGAGACACTCATTTACTATACTTCTGCTGCCGTCGCCATGGCAACTGAATGCAAATGTGTTGGCGGGATGTTTGAGTATATGTCACAGAATGTGTGTGTGTGTGTGAGACTGAAGCACCAGCTGAGTCAGTCTGTCACAGTTTTCCTCACATTTCAACTCCAGGGTCATTTAAGTTAAACACAGAATTCAGAATAAAAGTAAAAATGATACTTTTACCAAGATGGCATGTAGCCTACCGAGTGAAAAAGCATCCCCTACAAACAGATTTAAAATCTGCACAACATTATAAAAACTCAGGATACTTTAGGCCTGTATGACAACCTTTCCTTTTCAATCTTGAAAGCAACGGCAAATAAATTCCACATTACATTAATATGTAAGCCACAATTATATTGGGCCTGAAATCCATATAGTGGATAAATAACACAATAGACTTGGTCTGTTTGGAATCACGTTAAATTATTCTACCCCTCACAGTCACTCATTACATCTGAACACATTTCAGGAAAAAGTTTTTAAAAAATTCAGCTCCCCTAGTGATGAGTTAATAATTTTGCCATGTGTTTTGCAAAAAATACCATCAAAATGGTAATTTGTTAAGCTCATGCCACACTTCTGTAGTACAGCAGGCAGTGACAGAAATTCTGGGCTGGTGGTGCTTTGCCACATGGATTTGGACAGCTAAGAAAGCCCACTTGAGGCTGCAGCTTAAAGGATTGCCACCTGATTGCCAAAATAAAGATAAAATGTTCCAATACATAAAAAAAAAATACATTCCTTTATGTTTCCCAGTCCACTCAGAGCATTGTGTTCTGTCAGGCTATAGGCTACAAACTGAATTTACATCCGGAAATCTCTAACAACTTTAAACTGTGTGTGAATTGATGAAGTTCATCCTGCACTACAAGTTTTAGTATTGACCCTCGTGGCCACCTGTCTCGTGCACAGGTTGAGATGTGTTTACCGGTGGTGGAGGGGGACTTCTGGAGGTCCGGTGTGTCTGCGATCATCCGGTTCGCGTTGATAGACGGGGACAGCAGAGACAAAACGACAAACAGATCCAAACTCCGGAGAGCTGTTACAGACCCCATGGTGAATTCCTGAAGTGTCTCAACCCCAGCGGCCACTTGCTCACTATGCTGCCTCCCTGCTCCCTGCCCCTCCCCTCCCTCTCTTCTCCTCAGCGGCTGAGCAGCAGCACGAGGCACATGTATCTGTTTCACTGTACTTACAAGGACTGTAGACTCAAAGTAGTCCATACTAAAAAAAAATAAAAATAAAATTAAAAATGAAAATAAAATAAAAATAAAATAAAAATAAAACAGCTAATTACAGACGTGGGTGCAAACAGGATGAACAGACGCTCATCATCCACAACTAAACAAAGCACATTATAAAAATTTCAGATTTGTGCTCAACTACAAGAACAAAAACATCTTTGAAAACATCAGTGAATCAAAGAAACTTTCTCATAGCTCTATATGCTTTTCTTAACTCACTTTCGTTTCTGAATACCAGAAGTAAAAATCTTCCAGGCCTATTCAAAATGTAGCTAAGCTATCTGTGTGTCAGTGTAGCTCCTATTCCAGTTTTACATCAATATAGGTATTATATTTTTTGGTTATTATTACTAATATAGTAATATCATTGTTGATGTTATACCTGGTCATGGTGAGGCTAATTCTAACTCCTTTTTTTTATTTTATTTTATTTTTTTTTTACTGTTGGGTAGTTTCATCCAACAAGTCATCATGGTTTATAAGACAAAGATGTAAAGTCTTTATATGCTTTATCTGCATCTGTTAAATACAAATAATGGAATAGCACAGAGCTTTACACATAAATACTCGCTGCTTACTTTCCACCTCTAACAGCAGGTGTTTTACTAGTGCCAGTCAGTCACTGGGAACAAAAGCATATACTAATCATCTCTATTATCTTAGAGACAAAAAGAGAGGTTTACTCTGATGCATGGTTGAGCATGAGCATTCATCATTGTTAAATGAGGGGAAGTTGTTTTGAGGGACTGATCATTCAGGTGACTCACCAGAGATAAAGCTTTATTACCGAGCCGAGGACAGACTGAGGTGTAGGTCCTTTTCATTTTAAGCTAAATGTGTTTGTGGTATTTTTTTCACATATTAAAGAGTAGCAGAACATGATGTGGCAGAACTTAAAGATGTGCAAAATGATCAGATAGGTCTGGAAAGGGACAGCATGGAGCTGTCTGGGTGTCTGTTTAGACTCGATGTGGGAAGCATGAATCATGATCTGCACATTGTGGGATGATTCAGTGTCTGAAGATGACTGCTGTGCGACACAATAGACATGCACTCATTTCTCTCCCCTGTGGGCTGAATGTATTTTGCACCGAGGACTCAGTCCTCAGTCTGACCGGTTATTTCTTATCTCTTTGATTTTGCTGCATCAGTAAAGGACTGTGTGACCCTGCTGAGGCAAATGGCAGCTGTGCACACAGTCTGTTCTGGGTTCAGTCAGACAGGGCCACCCACTACGGTGATTTCTCAGGTAAATCCAAATCCAGCTCCTTGCTGCTTGACCTCAGAAGCAGCTTCGCTTGTCATGACTCTTTGAAAAACAGGAGTGTTAGAAGCACACATCGAGGACAAAAGTCCATGTGCACGATAGATATTTTTACAGCAGCATAGTTAAGTTTCAAACTCATACTTAGACACATTTTATTTAAATGATAATATTTTTATTATATTTCACTGCATAACTCAGCTATGATGTGTCAACTGTGAAAAGTGCTGAGTTCAAAAACAGCTATAGTTTCCTCTTTTGATTTGGTGGTGGTATAAGGTTAGAAAACAAATCTGGGAATTAATGTTTTTACAGCTGTTAATCCCCATTGTTGTCAGCCCGGTAATATGAAGGGGAAAAATAACCACTGTTATATAATAGTTATGTCAGGTATGGCCCTTTGTGAGTGACCCAAGAGTAATTTGTGTTATTTTGTTCAGTCCAAGTAATGTACAGTGCAGGGATGCATGTATGCATATATTCCTGTAGAGGGCACAGCTTCTCTGCAGATTCTGTCCATCACTGGCAATGAACTGTCTGTCCATCACTGGTGCAAATGCAGCACTCTGATTTCAAGTTGAGTTGACAAATCAGTCATTTAAATGGCTTTGTAATGTTGAAAAGCATCAGAAAATAACAAAACAAATAACAAAACAAATAACAAAACAAACAACAAATAAAAACATAACAATTCTTTTGTCTTAAAAGACCAACCTGTCAAACAGCCAGAGCAGATTCAAATCATATGTTTTGAATTTCTTTTTGATTTTCTTTGCATTTTGCAACAAACACAAAGTGTCCAGAGTGCTATATGTGTGTGTGTCCTTCAGACTGACTATTATCTCATGCTGTTTTATGATATTGATCCAGAGAAATTCAGTTTTCTTCCACTTCTCAGTAAACAAGATATAAACTAAGCTGCTTTGACTTGAGAGGAAGTGTGCTCCAAATTAAGTAAAGCTATAATAATGTGGTCACATTTTTCTTAAAGTGTCCTTCCCTGATTGGCTCCTGAAGATTAAACCCAGAATTCCGCAGCAATTCGCTGCAGCAGCTTTTCCACTGCCAACTGTGGTTTTTTCTCTCACCTGGAGTCCCTGTACTCACTGAGGGCTGCCCACTCAAAGTTCACACTGTCTGCAACTCTTAACACATTTGAGGACTGACCGTCGACTGCGCAGTGGATTGGTATTAGTGGAAACATGTTTGTGTCAGCTGCAGTTGTCATCACCTTAATGTGTTCCTGTTCACTCCATCCTATTTTTGGACAGGTAAGTGCAACACAATGTCCTTGGCTAATGAGCGGATGAATGAATGAGAGTCACAGTAGGATGCCTTGACTTGACTGACATCATTTCAGAAAGCTATGGCCTTGACACACTCATAAAGACAGCTCTATTTTATCTTTTGAATTGATTCATGGGTTACAGAACTGTGATGCATGGTTCAAAAAGTATTTGAAAATGTGAATAATCTCCCTCTCCTCTGAAGTACACGACAGGTTCTACTGTGAATGTCTTTGCTTAGCAACACAGTGAAAATTTTTGACAGACAAAACCTTGAGTCACCCTCATATTGCACACAAGTTTCAGGAACCAGATCCACTATATTAATATATTCAGCACATCTCTACTGTGCTTTACTTCAAATCTTCCGAACAAAATCTTTGTTTGGTTTTTGTCATGCATCTCTGTGTCTGTGTCTGTGTCTGTGTCTGTGTCTGTGTCTATGCATATTTGTTGATGCGTTACTCAAAGATGGGCAACATAAAAGTCAGTAAGAGTGGCAGTGTGATGGTTTAGGCCTTTATATGTGTGTTCATGTGTGAGAGTATAAGTGTATGTTGTTCAAAGTTGCATGTAGGTGTTTCAGAGTTGTTGAACATTAACAACAAGTCTTAGTTAGATTTAGTAGAACTGTACTGTAATCTTGAGCTCCCATGCTGCATGCCTCCTACGCACTATGGTAACATCACCCAGTTAACATGAAGCCATGTAAAATGTCGCCGAACACAGGTAGAAAGAGGTCTTTGACAACTACACTATAAACACCAGCTACCACCCCCACCCCACCCCACCCCCAGACTGACTGAAGTCTCTCCAAACCCGAGTTTGGTCCAAATCAGAAAGGTGTTTTCAACAAATATTGACTCTTGTTACATAACTCCTGCTGGAAGAAAACACTAATTGGTTGTCTGAAAACATGTATGAGAGGACAGGACAGAATGACGCTGTTGAATGAAAGAGAGTAATGAGGGAGAGGACGTGGGTAGAAAACAAGTCGCTGCCACTCCTCTCAGCCAATAGAAAGTGGGGGTTGTAACACAGGTGATGTTTATGCTGAGGGCGTTTCTACCCGACTGACTGACCCCGAAACACTAAATTTACCACATCATATAGAGCTAGTGATTACCTGTAATGCAAGCTAAATAACTTTTGCTGATATTGCCCTCTTTCCTAAAATGACACATGGCAGTTACATAACCTTATATATATATATTGCAAGAATAGTATACTGGTTACTTTCAGAGTCTGTTTTTGTGTTTATGACTGAGTTACAGTATCTAGTTTTGAGAGAAGGAGGTTCCTGCTTGCAAATGTACTTACAGTGGGAAAACATACTCAGATCCTACTGCATTTACTCCCTCATATAACAGCCCAGCCTCTGTGCTGCACGGGTCTCCAAGTGCACTTCCTCAGCACACTTTCATTCACTGACTCTGTTTTGGTTACAACTAAGATTTCATTTTGAAATGTGCTTCTTAATCAAAGCATCTACTTGCATAATCGAGTAATGGGTATACAGTAGGTGTGGTAAACCAATAGGGAGAGTAACATTTGGTATCCATGCATTATGGGCACAGAAAGCACATGGACGTGTAATTTATGTGAAGTAATCTTGTGGCTGAGAACTGAAATTTCAGTCCCAGACAGAATCATAAAAGTGCAGCACAATGATTCAGTGATAAAAAGGCGAATGTGTGGTTAACATAAGAAACCTTTTTTGTGGTGCAGGTACATTTTCTGGCTGCGACAGATCTATAAGTTGTAAAGATTCTTTGGTTGTAAAAAAAAAAAAAATCTTTAGCATCGCTTTGAGTCTCATGACTGAATAGAAAGTTAGTTTCCCCAGCTAATACATCAATGACATCGCTGACACTTGTGGTCTCTTTTTCATGTTGACAAATATTTATTTTTAACTTAGGTGAGCCAGAGGAGAAGCTCTTCTATATTCATAAATTCAGCAAAAACAGCATTCCTTTTTTAAAAAAAAAAAACTTATAACAACTTTTAAAGCAAAACAGAGTGCTCTGTAGCTTTCAACATCCATGTAGTAACACTATGCATAGGGCAGTACACTCTTCTCATATCTACATTTTTGAATTAAAACAACTTATAATTACGTGGCTCTTTCATAATCTGTTGTCGGTGGATTTCAAATCAGCTTTGAACAAGTTGTTGTCATTATTAATCAATGCCTCATGAAAAATTAGTCACCGTCTCTGTTTTGTTCCAGGACTGTCCTAGCAGGCAGGAAATACAGGGCTCTCTGAAGCAGGTCCAGAAGCTGCTCTCAGCCCATGAGGCCTCCTACATGCAGAGTCTACGCAACCTGAAGAAGAAAATAAACTTATTGCAGAGCAACGCAGGGAAGCAGCCAACAAAAGCCATCAACAGTGAGCAAAACATCCTGATATATTAAAATGTTAAAATGCCTGTTATTCTTCTTCTTCTTCTTCTTCTTTCTTTTTAAATCACTTTCTGCTTTTCCAACAGACACATGCACAAAACTGGACGCACCGATCAACGGAAGAAAACTTGGGAAGTCACACAGCGTGAGCCATGAGGTTCACTTTCTGTGTGACCCTGGCTATGAACTGGTTGGATCAGAGAGCAGGGTTTGTCAGGAAAGCCTGACCTGGAGCGGCCAGCAGCCCACCTGCCGAGGTGAGAGACCGGCACTGATCCTCTGCTACCTGTCCTTGCTGGGATTGTTACCTTCTCCGCCGTCTCCTCATCCTCTTCCCACCAATGTCTCTCTCCTCTTCTTGACCCTGACCGTCTCTTATCATGTTATCTAACCCACTGATCAATTTTACAACGCTGTCATCGTCCTCTTTGTAACCTCCCCCTCTACTGCTCTCTATTGCTGTTCCTCTTTTTGGGCATATGTTTCATATGTGACGCATGATCACATTTCGCCTTTATGTACTTTGGTCATTGTCCAGAGAGCTTATTGAATGCTGAGACATGCGATATTCCAACCTCAGTGTCCTCTGACAGCTTGTGAACTTTGAGATATCAGCTGAAAGGCTGTTTTATCTAGCAAGGCTTCCCCTGTAGCTGCACCTGTTGTGAGCTCATCCGCCTTTTTCCGCCTTTTTCTCATTCTCTCTCTCTACCACATACTGTATATATGCCATGATGTCAACCGATATTTGGTTGCATGTTCGAACATAGCGCTGGAGTTTCCTCGTTTAACCCTTCCTGTCTGTCTTTTCCCTCAGACATCAATGAGTGTGCGTCCTCTCCGTGCCTGAATGGCGGGACGTGTGTGGATGAGGTGAACCAGTTCTCCTGTGTCTGTGCCAAAGGCTGGGCTGGAGCTACCTGTCAGAGCCCTCTGCCAACATGTAGGAATGACATACCCAGACCACACACTGCCTGATGGAGATATAGTTTTACTTAACCATCTTACTGTTGTTCACATTTAGATAACGGCTAACACTTCATGCACCTTAGCCTGCTCAAAAAGTTACTGCATATTTGATATTATAGGACTATATTTAAGACAACACTTTTCTTCAGAGCATATTTTTTTAGGCTGGTATCCAAATCCTCCCAGCCTGTTAAAGGAGATTACATTGGCCAGTGGTTTGGTTAGCCAGTACAAGCCAGTGCTACATACCGCAGTGTGGGTTTTATTGAATTCCAGCCTGAAGTCTAAGACAGTCCTGGTTGAGTGGCAGCGGTCTGCTCCCTGATGTGGCTGGTGGAGTTAATGTACAAACAGTGACTGTGAATCTCTGGAGCCCACATAGTTTAGTTTTTCTCTATTTATTTAACATTTCCATGCAAATATGCAATTTGTTACTGTAGGTCTGGCTTTATTTACCTTTTTTTGGGCAACCAACAGTCCATCATGTCACATTCATGACTATAGAGCCACTCTGTCTAATGATACCTAATGAATGGTAGTATCTGAGAAGTTTCAAAGCTCTGCAGTCAGGGGTGCATGGTGACAAATCAGCAGAAAGAAGTTCTGATATTGCCAAATAATAATCTGGCGATAAGTCAGTTTTACATAAACATTTCTAATAAAATTTGGTTTGTAAAGAATTTTGACAAGTTGACAGTTCAGGACATTTTACAGTTGAGTTCAGTGCTCACTCAATGTCCATTAATGAGCAGGGTAGATACAGACCTATCGCTCTAAAGATATCACAGGAGGGGATGAAAACAGCCTACACGACTGCTTACTTCTCCTCTTTCCTGTCTTCCCCTTTCAGTCTTTGTTACCATGACAAACACCTCCGCAGCCACCACGGCTGCTGCTGGTGCTGCTGCTGGTGCTGCTGCTGCTGCTTCTACTTTGCCAGCTGCCACCACTGGGCCCTTTGTTCGTCCATCACGTTGCACTATAGTGCAGGGAACCACCCACTGCACCTGTGAGCCAGGGTACACCATCTCTGGCAGGGACACCAATACCTGCACTGGTGCGACTAATACCTGCCCTGTAACTGAAATATATACACATTTGTGTTTTCATATAGGATGCTAACTGTGTGTGTGTGTGTTGTGTTGTTCACTTCAGATATAGATGAATGTGAGCTGTTCCATAATGGCCAGGCTGGGAAACTGTGTTTACATGCTTGTGTCAACACCCCTGGAGGTTACCGCTGCTCCTGTCCTGTTGGATACAATGTGACCCGCGATGGACGCAGCTGTAAAGGTGCACTCATGTTTTTACTTGTCTGCATTTTGTTTTGCAATCACTTTGAATTTACTCAATTTCAGAAATCTGCTATCAGCATTACATCAAGTATTCCCAAGAAAGCTTCTGCATAGCAAATGTTGCTGATAAAACATCAAAATCGACCCTTTCACAAAAAATTACGAATTTAATTCTCACACAGTGTGAATGATATTCCAACTAATATTTCTGTTTAAATAAATGTCTCACTGTGTTGATGTTTTTTTTTCACAGACATTGATGAGTGTGCAACCAGACAAAACAACTGCACAAAGGACCAGATGTGCATTAATACATACGGTGGTTTCCAGTGTGTCCGTGTGGACTGCCCCAAAATCCCTAGTGCAACATATGTCAAGACGTCACCTATGTGAGCATTATCCTCAGTCATGAATTTCTTATATCCAGTTCACTCCACATTGTACAATAAATGTGATTTTCATTTGAAATGCACAGTAACAAGTAGATATTGGGACCAAGTCTTAGACCAAATAAAAACTAATTTGATTCCAAAGTTTTAACACAACTACATCTTCCTCAGTTTTCATTTGTTCTTCTTTTTTCCAGGCGTTGTGAACGTAACCCCTGTCCTGTGGACAACAAGGCGTGTTCTCAGGCCCCAAATTCCTTTTCCTACCATTACTTGGCTGTTGTGTCCAACCTGTCAGCTCCCCGTGTCATGTTCAGGGTCTCAGCATTGCGTCCAATGGGTGACACGCTCCGCTTCTCCCTGCTGGGGGGAAGGCAAGCTCGGCGCCACTTCACAGTCCAGCGTTCAGACCGTCTGACAGGTCAGCTGATGCTGGTGAGCCCGGTGCAGGGCCCTGCCGCTCTGGAGGCAGAAGTAGAGATGAGCGAGCTGGAGAAACGCGTCCAGCTGGGGAGGTACATCACCAAGATCACCATGTTTGTTTCCCAGTATGAGTTCTAGAGAGAGGATGAACACATTCATGAAGGATGAACGTGGAAACTCTCTTAGAGCACAAAGGCCAAACAAAAGTCTGTTGTGCTTGGATTTAGCTATAAGGACAAAGTCACGGATATGTGATAATCTGATGTATTGTGGTGGTCATCTTTAAAGTCACCTGTACTGTTGCAAAAGGAGCTGCTGCCACCAGATCTCAACTGTAGTAAAGTAAGCATAACATCGTGGCAGAGCAACACATGCGTGTGTTGTGTGCACAGCTGCATGCAATAAAGGTTTTAGAATACAGGTTCTTCAGGAGCATTGTTAATAAGCTAAAGGAATGCGTATTGAGTATGTTCAGGTGGCTTAAGTATAAGAACATGAGTTTTGTATGGATTACCTAAAATGTATTTATTGCAGAAAGATAGAAATGAGTGTAGGAGATATAAAAGGGGAATGGCACGATGTAGCAAACAATAAACCAGCATTCAGCTAAAGGACACTTGTAACAAGCTGAACCAGAAAATATATAGACAGTCCACCAAGAAAGTGTTATTTTTGTAAAATGATGGTCCAGCCATGTTGACATATATATATTATGTATAGTGGACAGGTAATCATGATGTGTGAAGACTTTGTAATCCTTTCTACTATCATGTATTATTTATATTCTGTTTTCAGTAAATTTTCCAGTGCAATCATTAAAACACCCTGTAAACCATAAAAAAACATTGGTCTCCTTTTTTTTGCTAATGCAGAATTTTTTTTTTTTTTTTTTTTTTAAATTGGTTTGGTACAATTTGAATGTTTACATTTTATGCTCTTCCCGCTGAAATATGCTGTAAGAGCAGTCAGATATATATAAGCAGTGATATATGTGATCTGTGCTTGTTTGAGAAACACTTCAGCTCTTGCAGTACAGAGCAGTGCTGTTCAGCAGACAGGCAGCCAAAGACATGGCTGCTGAAAAGAGCTACTGTGTTCCTACAGTGCATGAATAACTTTAACTTTGAAATTTGCAAGCAAGTGACGTATGTGTGATCGTTTTCCTTTCACAGGGAAGGTGTGTATGTGGAAGAATTGTGAAGTTTCAGAGAAGTGTGATGAAATGTGTCACCTCTGTGCTGCACCAGCCGCCTATCTGCTCCTCGGTAAAGTGAAGGTTCACTGGAGACAAACAGGATGTCTCCAGTTGCAGAGGGGGCTCTTGCTGAGACTCACCGACGACACCACCGAGGGGGCGGGGGAGATTTAGCCACGGGGTCCTAAAACAAGACTGCACGCTGAGTGAAGAAAATAAGATGCATAGAGATAGGGAGGCAGAGTGATGGCTGAATAGAGAAGGCTGAATAGAAGACGATTCAGGCGAGCCAGTCAGTCACTGGCGGAGGGGTGCAGCCTGCATTAAAAAACGTTCTTTGCTAGCACCACAGAATATGACCTCTGACTACTCATGACTCAGTCTCTCCTGCTTGTGTCTTAATGGAAAAAGTAGAGTTGAATTGGAGGCCATCCTCATGTCTGTCCCTGAGGGATCCAGAAGAGGTGATGAATAAGTATTAAAGGTTCATCCAGACTGCTCCTTTTCTACTCTTGTCCTCTCTACAACTCCCTTTCATCTGCAGCTTATCCCTTCTGTGTTGTACCTCTGAATAGCTTGTGCAAGGTTCAGCCTAGTGCCCACTTATATATACAAACTGGACTCTGAGAAAGTCGGCCTGTGAGAGCACCTGGGCTGGAGTCTGATGTTTTGTCTGTCCTGTTCACCTCACTGTCCTCTCTTTTCCTCCCCTCCTCTACGTTATCATATTACACCCATTTTCTCATCCTTCTGTCCCCACTCCTCCACCTCCACCGTCCTGTCTTTACAGCCCTCTCTCTCTCCAGTGTGGCTGATTCACACCGTGCAGATAAAAACCCCTCCTAATGAGTGCTGGCAGTGTGTAAGGGACTGAAATCAATATCCTAATCTCATCCTAAGAAACCAGCACACTCTCTTTGACAGCAGCTTGGGTTATCATTGGTACTTCGTTTTGAAAGGAAATACCTTGGTCTCATCTGGAGTTTAATGGATCAAAAGAGAGTGTGACTGGGTCTGCAGAGGCTCCCCACACTGCAGACTGGACGCAAAAGTCAATTTGGCTCAGTGGCATTCAGTGTGGGTTTGCAGTTCAGTGTAGGAGGAAGGGAGAGGGTCGAATAGACCTGCCAGGAGCCTTTAATCAAGTTAAAGTTAAACTAGCAGCTCCTTTGCCTCTCTGCTATGTTTGTTCAATTTCTTTCATTTATTGTCCCGTTAAAGATTCCCAAGTGAGTTTACTGTTGTGTCTGTCTTGAATGAAAACCCATGTGTGTGTGTGTGTTCCTGTGTATTTTCAAACTATGATGTAACACTGCCCCCTGCTGATCACAGATCATACATGCTGCACACTCAAAGTCAGTTGACACTGAAGCCATAACCTGTGATTTCCCCAGCAGTAACCTCTTTTAATAGCCGCGATTAATAGCCACTACAGTCAAACAGGTCATAACTGCCTTTGTTGTGTGGCTGTTATAAAAGCTATTGATTAGTGAGGCTCATAATGTCTAATCTGTTGGTGTGAGTGCACTATATGCACTGAGGATGTGATTATTGATTCATACTGATGAAACCAGTTTATGGTTTTAGAATTTACCTGATGATTGGCATAAGCAATGACGGATTTAGGTACAAGCGACATGGGCAGCCGCCCAGGGTGGCATCTTGTCCGGGGGCAGCACAGGCGCTCTATGTCTATATCTATATCTATTGTGATTGTATATAATTGGTATTAGAACAAACTTTAACAGAGATATTTTCAGAAATATCTGCAGGATCAACCTATCTGATTTCTTATATTTGATTTCTTATATTGGTGCGTACGCATCTTTTCAGCTTTCTGCGTAGCCTACGCCACGTTTCAGTGTGAATTCTACGCAAGGCTTTGGTAAATGAGGCCGAAAGTGTCCCCTGTCAGTTGATCCACACCTGCTGCAGGTGAGTCAGGTTCAGAGTCTAGGAGCTGACAGCGTAGAAGCTGGTCCAGAGAGGAAGGATGCCGACCTTCAACCCGGAGGTGTAGGATCGAATCTGAGGTAGGTCATAACACTCATGTGTGCGTGTGTGTGTGTGTGTGAAAAAACAACAAACAACAAAAAACAAAAACAACAACAAAAACTCATCTCAAATACTAAAAACTTCAAACGCTGCGTTCACGAAACTCGTCCGTCCGTCCGTCCGTTCGTTTCGATTTCGCCGTGCGAATTTACGAATTTCCACGATTTCCACCAACGAGGAAGAAACAGAACCGGTGTAAGTCCAGGTGGACCCTGTGGTCCAGCTAGCTCAACAAAGCTAGCTGGACGGGCATTTTGACATTTTGTTTTCACTTAACATCATGAATGAAGTGAATCATCTGATATGGAGGACAAAAAATTTGTTATTATTATTATTATTATTATTATTAATATTATCCTCACCTGTCCTCACCCATTGGCGGATTCAAAAGGGCGACATGGGCAGCACTTCTATCTTTGTGCAGAACTAATGCAATTAGCAAAATGCATGCAAAAGCTGCCAAATAAACCACAATTCATTCATAATACTGTGAAATGAAGGGGGTATTGTCCCAGGGCACCATACAACATAGAACCACCACTGGGCATAATGTGTCCTTTTTCAGTCGTCCTCATTGATGAAATGTTTAATATTTTTAATGAATTTTGATCTTGGACATCATTGTTCTCTTATCATATTGCACAGGATTCAATAAGTTCAATAAGATGCTATAACCCAGCAGGAGCCCTGATTATATGATTTATGTTGTCATGACCAATCACAGGCCTGGCTTTCATTTCTAGCCTTCCACATTCAAAGTTTGTCATGTCGTGGAACAGTATGTCAGCCAGTCTCAGATGATGTACACATACTTTTGTGCCAGAACATGCCTCCTCATATGGCAAAAGCTAGGTGATGATTGGTAGGGACAAATCAATAGTGGAGTGTGGGGTTTTGTGAAGTTCTTCTGTTTCCAGCAGGGTTTGGGAGAATTTACACACTGGTATAAAACAAGAAAACAGACAGTAATCAAGATCTCTTTATAATCATAAACAATGGACGACAGGTATGGCACAAAGACAAGTATTTCTTCTCATTTACCATTAAAATGTCCAAACTGGTGACATGTTAAACTTTGAGTAGTCATGGTTTTGTGTTCATTGGGTCATCTGTGCTATAGAAATTACATTCTGACTGACATCTAGATCTAGACAGAACTGACAAATCTCATACAGCTGCAATGCATGACTCTTAAAAAGGCCATATATATACATACAGTATGTAAAACAGTGTTTTTATATGATGTATGATGGCTCTCGAATAGGGTGTGTTCAATTAGTATTTTTTCATATAATTTTATGATTCTTGTGTGCGCAGGATGAAGCTGCAACAGTCATTAAAATGTCATCTTTATTTATGTTTTTAAAAAGTGCGTTGCTGAGGCGACTGTGTTTATTCTTGTGCAGGTGAAAATGAAAACCGAATAATTTTAGATTCTGAAGAATCTCTACCCACATGTGGAAAGGGCATTTGGATATAGAGACTCATTATTGTTGACATGGACATGTCTTGGTCTGTAAGGATGATGAAACAGGGTTTTTAACATTTATGGATGTGTCTTAGCCAAAAAAAAAAGAAATTAGGTCATTGTGTATCTATACCAGAACTGATTGTGAGGCTGGATAGATCTGTGAACATTATGACTGAGACTGATGAGAGTGGAAGCTGCCATAACGTCACAGGATATGTTCAGTAGAATTCTACATATCAAGTCCTTAGTGGTGAACATGATTCACTCACATATTGATGCTTGGTAGTCATAACAACGAACCCACTCAAACTGTTCAATCCACTTTTGGATCTGAACGTCTGCTGGATCTGGAACTTCTTGTGCAAAAGGTGAAGGAGGATTAAAGTGAATGGCCTTTAATCTCTGAGCCCAGTCGAAAGGCTTTTAGCCACAAATAAAAACCTAAGAGTGTAAACCAGATTGAGACAGCTGGAACACTCCTTGTTTGCTTGGTTGTTTGGGTACATCATCTTGTGTGTTTCAGTTGTCTAGTATTCATTTTGAATGAGCGTTTTACACATTAAATCTTACCTGGTGTTTAGGCAATGTGGAAGGAATCCTGTGTTATACAGGTGCCAAACTGTATGTATGAATTATCTGAGACATGCAGCCCTTACATCTGATGCAGTGAAGGTTTGCAAAAAGGTTGTGCTGCCACTTATGGATGCACAGAATGACCTCTATCAGTTTGGTTTTCTGTTCTCCCATTTCAGGGGTGTTAGTGGTGCTCCTCTATTAGAAAACTGCATTTACTTGTGCTCTGACCGGAATAAAATACAGTTAGTTAAGTTATTAAATATTCCTGCAGCTCATTTGTTCACTTTGTTTATTATGCACCTGATCATTCTCTGTGTTATGTTAAATCCTGCAGCTGCATTGAATAAAAATGATATAAATACAATATTCTGTAACCTTATTTCACTGTCTAAAACATAAAAGTCATCAAGTAGCTATTTGATGAAGACTGCAGCCTTGACAGGATCAACTATTAACAAAAATGGAAGATATTGAGAGTTATTCACTAATCTGCTGATCGGATCACTCTACTTATATTATGTAAGTA